TTGGTGGGCTACTAATCTAATGGAGGGTAGGCGATATCGACATCTAGCTCTGCCATTCGGAGGAGAATCCTCCCCATTACTATTTGTGCGGTTCTCTGGCAATAATATAAAGATCATCAGCAGACTATTGAGGTGTGTTAACGTCTTTCATCGCGTGATGATATATATTGATGATAAAGGGTGCCCCACAACAAGGAATATGGCAAAATATACCGTCCTGGTGATGGCGCTGGTCGATATGATTCTCGACGTCGATACCGCCTACGAGAAATTCCTCTGCAGTTCGACCCCGCGGGTGCTAGGATTTCAGATGGACCTGCGCTCTGAGATGGTCCGCTTGCCTGAGGACGAGAGGACCGCTATGCTTGAGGCGTTGAGTACTCTTTCTGAGAAATCCGCTAGAGTGCCATTAGCACTCGTGGAGAAAACGCTAGGAAGATTGGTATGGGGATCGGTCATGTTCCAATGGAACAGTTCCATAAACTACGGTCTCAGTTGCGACCATTCTTCAGCGTGACCAAAGCGCTCCAGAATAGGTGTAAGAAGACTGACCGGAGGAGAAGACCGGTGGAAAAAGTTACGGTTGGCGAGAGCTTGGCTAGCGCGGCGCGATATATTGGGGAGCTCCTACCGCGACTATGTTCGTCACCTTTTGCCGGCCTGGTTCCCAGTGTGGGAGCTGAGCGTGCCGTCGTAATGTGCGACTCCTCCACAACAGCATTGGGAGGGGTAATCATATCTGAAGATCTCCAGAGAATGGAATGGTATCGTGTGAGTCTGAGCGAGATCAAAGTGCAGTTTTTGATCAAGCAGTATATACCATCGTTCGACGTCGGCCACCGAGCCGAGTCTGGGCACATGTGCTTTCTGGAGTTGATGGCTGCTGTGATCGCCTTGCTTTCTTGTCGGAAGGGCCGCGGTGTACTGATTCTATCCGATAATTGCGCGGCGGTGAGTGCTTTGAACAAGCTGCATAGTAAATCTCAGCAGCTAGATCTGCTTATGAAGCAGCTGACGTCGCTTATGCCGGACCTCACTACACAGTGCATGAAAGCAGTCCACATAGAGGGCACCTCCAACCAGGTGGCTGATCTCATTTCAAGGAGAGATGTTTCCACCTTGCGGGAACTCCTGAGCCATGGGGAGGACATGAGGGAAGTTAACGTAGACGCTGCGATCGATGCACTAAGTTTGCAATCGGAGATGGAATAGTGTGCTAGAGGCTCTCTAGTAGAGGATTACAGCTGTTCGTTACAGAATCATTGTTTCTCTTGCATTGACATGTTTAGTCACTTAAGTCTGTCAATAACAAAATGGGAAACAAAGGGACGTTTCAATGTGCACTCCAATGGCCAGCACTTGTGTGCCGTCGTCCAAGTGCCAAGAGGAATTGGAGCGAATTCTTCTTGGAGCTGGCGAGAAACGTGTGAAGGGTGCGATCGGCGGGGTGCAGATCTCAGACGAAGTTGCACGTCCACAAGGACGAGCATCGAAGGCCTATACGCGTGGTTCGTTCAAACAAGCAAAAGAGGCGGCTCAGAATCTCATGGAAAGTGATTTGGTGGAGTTCGGTAACCATGCAAGAGCAAAGAGTACGCGAAAGAAGTACGAAAATGTACGAGCGAAGTACTTCGAGCTGAATCAATTAGCGGGTCGAGACCCAGTCCCTTTCCGTGCGGAAACGGCGTGCGTTTTCATTATAAGTCTCGTACGTGGGAGATACACCTTCGAAACAATAGACCAGTATACACGGATCGCTAAGCAGTTAGCGAGGGAAGAAAGGGGCGAAACTCTGAGCATAACCGAAGACAGCAAAGTGAAGTTATTTTTGAGAGCTGCGCAGAAACTTTCCGTACAGTGCGGAGTGTCCAACCAAAGGCGAGCTGCCACACTGAGTGCGGAGGATATGAGATCCCTCTCGACCCTGAAGGAGCCGGACTTGCAAGGGGTCATTACGGGAATGATAGTAGGGGTCGCTGCTCTACTGCGACTCGGCGAACTGTTATCTCTCAAAGTGAGACATGTTAGCTTGATTAGTTCGGTTGAAACTGGTGCAAGGGTCGATATCCGCATTACCCATTCCAAGACCGATCCGCTAGGGAAAGGATGCACGATTGCCATTGGATGCTGCTGCGTCAATGGCAGAAGGAATTCTGTCTGCCCTTTTCACCGAATGGGGGCATGGGTTGAGGGACGCCCTGCCGAAGACCTTGTATTCCCTTATGTGCGACGGCAATTTACGGAAAAAAATGTCAGAGCTGACGCGGCGAATTTT